CGTCCACATAGGGTTGAGGGAGGTCAAGGATGGGGAGGAACGTCCACATAGGGTTGAGGGAGGTCAAGGATGGGGTGGGATGGGGTAGAGCATCCACATAGGCTTGTGGGAGGCCAAGGATGGGGAGCCAGAGCCCCTCTAGGTGGAGGTGGGAGGAGTATTGTAATCATATAGGATTCCATTCAAGTGGAAGAGAATAGCAAGTGATTAGAAAATATTTTTGATGATTGGGTAGGGTAAAGGAAATGGGAAAGATCTGGTGTGAAAAACATTGTATTCAAACTTTGTAGAGAAATAAGAGGGAATAGGAGGGAAGGAAGGAGGGAGGGAGGAGGCAGGGTGGGAAGGAAGGAAGGAAGGAAGGAAAGAAAATGAAAAAAGAGGGGGGAAAATGCTGACCGTTTAGTTAGCAGCCAAACTGATAAGCACATAGAGAACACACGTGTGTGTCTGTATGTTTAGGCCTGTCTACTTGGAGATTCTAGGAAGATCAATTCCCTAAAATAAAATGAGAACGGGCAGTGGTAAAAGAACTCAATGACTGCTAACAATAACGACAGCAATGAGTACACATAAATTCCAGATGCTATTTTCTAAACTCTCCATTAAGAATAACCAGTATTCTTTTGAGTAATGGCAGGTTTCAGGGCAAGGACATGGATAGTACATAACGAGCCTGGGATATTGTGCTATGCCAGAAAGCCAGAAAGTGCTCATAGAATGATGGGATACATCAGAAACACAGAGAGGGTATCTGGAAGGTGTTCTTACCGGCCAGATGGAAAAATATGAGCAGCAAAGTGAACTAATAGATTATGATCCGCTGAATAAAATAGGGCATTTTATTCAGTGAGTCATTCTGGTATAAATAGTTTACCTCTAAGGTACCTTGGTGACTTTAAATTGTGGTACTGGAGAAGAGTACTAAATAACTCATTGTATTAATAATTTGTTCTGAAAGAAAACAAAGACATATCTTGGAGAAAGTGCAGCCAGAATGCTCCTTGGAGGTAAAGCTTTGACAAAGCTTCGTTTCACTTTCTTTTGGACATGTTGCTAGAAGAGGCTATTCCTTGGAGAGGGACATCATTCTTGGAATGATGAAGAGGGGGCAAAGGAGAGGAATACCCTGAACAGTGTAGGTTGACATGGTGACTGCGGAAATGGGCATGTGGGTCAGGGTGTGAGGATGGCAAAGAATAGGAGAGGGTTCAGATCTGTTGTTCATACGGTCACTATGAGTCGTACTCAATATGATGGTCCAACAACATCTCTAAAGATGTCAAGATAGTGAGAGGCAAGGAAAGACTATTTCAGATTTTGGAAGGTAGAGAAGCATGATAACTAAATGCAATTAATAATTCTACATTGGATCCTTTTACCATACAGGACATTACTGAATAATGGGTGACACCTGAAATGGAGTCTGAAGCTTAGATGATGGTAAGAGCATATCAGGATCATTTCCAGCCTTACAGAGTTATACCGAGGTATTACAGCACAATGCCTTGTTCATAGGAAATAAAGATTAACATACTTGGAACTTGTTGTAAGCAACTTGTTCTCATCTATACATCCGGGGGAAAATGAGTAAGAGTTCAATTTGCAACTTTTCTATAAATTTTAAAATTAGTTTTACAAACAAAAACAATTAAGACATTCCTTTATGTAGTCTGCAGGAAAGTATGCAGCCTTCAAGCCTCTCTGAAAAGAAAGCATTGCACATAGTTATTATGTGTGTCTGCATATAAATAAGAACTCAGTACATAGCCCTCTATTCATAAAAGAATACACAAAATCCACTCACTGGTAATAAAAAGTTGTTATTTTCTATAAAGATGCAAGCTGTCAAGTCTTGGTTAGTTAACAGGAAAATGAAAAACTAAAGAAATAGTGTGTAAAACAAAGTTTATATCAACTTATATACCCAACTTACATTCTATTATAGGAGAATACACACATTTCCTGCATCTACTCACATATCATCTGATATACTTTGAGCATGTTGCAAGGAACCAGTCCTTGATGAGGGACATCATGCTTGGAAGGGTGGAGGGACAGTGCAAGAAAAGAAGACCCTCGATAAGATAGATTGACTCAGTGACTGGGGTAATGAGGGTAGGTGTGTCAGAAACAGTACGATTGGCACAGGACAGAGCAAGTTTCAGGGCCGTTGTACATAGGGTTTTGCTATGAGTCGCAAGCAACAACAGCAACTCATATATTTTTTTTATTAATACTTTGTAAAAACTGGTAACTTTTAGAGTCTGTTCAAAGATAAAGTTAATAATCCCAAACACAAAATCAGGTAAGAATCTTCTTTCCTAGAATAAGCAGGATCTGAAATAAAAATTCTGTCTCAGTATGCATCTGAGTAATACACCTGAAATCAAGTTTCTGATTAATTTAAAGTTCAGAGGCAAAATCTTTTTACTGGTAATCCTGATTTGTAAACAGCTTATGTTCTACTTATTTATAAGCTACTTGTTTTACATTAGAATGTACTTTGCAAAGTAATAGATTAATAACTAATGAGTCAATTCTCAAGTCACAGTCCATAACTTTTATGGAATCAGTAACATATCTGGTACCTAAATACCATGTGTAACGATTTGTTTCTCTGGTAAATTAAGTTCAGATTTCTTAGCTCACCAAGAGAAAGAATTACTTCCCAACTGTAATCCTTACACAGGGATGTTGGACTTAGAATTCCTTGCTACAAAGTTCTGTCTCAAGCCCTACCTGTTACTTTTAACCAGGGTGTTTTCACAACCCAGGGCCACTGTGGAATAAAGTGTAGAGTCACAGATTCTTCTAACAATAATTAATGGCATCTAAATTGATCACTTAACTATTTGAGTATCAATAACTCATTTTTAAAGTAGCACACTCCATCTTAGTTGGAGGTGGGAGTATTATTGTAATCATATAGGATGTATATATGACTTCTATCATTGTATCTGAAACAGAGGATGCTTTCCAAGATTTAAAATCTAGGACAGGCTGATTTCAAAACCTAGCCCCTTTCCATTTTCCAATGCTTCCTTAAAGTTCTTGGGCAACACTTAAATTAAAATACGTAACACTTTTCTAGCCTGGAAGGGTGTCAGGGCAAGATGAAATCAAACAGGACAAGAAGGGGAAGTTTGTTTTCATTACTTGACTTTTTTTTTTATAATTCATACCAGTTTCAAATAGAAAAGAAGTAACTTTAAAAATGACAACAATGATAAAAACGGGCAGCAGAAAGAAATCAGGTAACATCTCAGTTCTGTGGGGGTTGATTCTTCATAATAATGTACTTTTGCTCTTTTATTAAAAGTACAGTCAAGTCACAAATGTCCAACTCAGGCACAATTCTTACTTGCTCTCTGATGTTACGTAAATTTATCTTCACTTTGAAAAGGAAAGCACTAATTCCTACTCAGGACAAACACTGTATCACAACCACCTTCACTTGTTACATGTACAGCTTTTAAATCACTGGAAAGACTCTGAGTCTTTTCTTGCACCAGAATAAGGCTATTTTACTTTCCTTGTTTTGAAAATATGAACCATATGTACCTGATCTCACTTATGTACAAATTTTTAAAGACACATTTATGGTTACACATTTGTAGCCCAGGGACTTGACAGTATGGGAATTTCTTGATCCTAAATAGAAACCTTAAAGTATGACTTTGTTGCTCCTTATAACTTGTAAAAATGATATAACTGAGTTACAAACTTAAAGGTTGAATTTCACCCTGTAAGGAGGATGCCACAGGATAAGAAGGTCAGAGTTCATATCTGTTGTTCATCGGGTCACTCACTTTAAGTCGTATGCGACTTGAAGGCATATATTATGACAACAGTAAACATTGGCATACGTATATTTAGGCAAACTCACTGTATTAACACATAGGTTTATCTCTCTTTCTCACTAAGTTGAAACTGACTCATAACTGACCAGTCAGTGTGTTTTCTGACTGTAAACAGCACAGGAGGAGACTACTCACCTTCCTCCTAAAGAGAAGGGTGGATTCGAACCACCAGAGGCACCGCCTTTTGGTTAGCAGTGCAACCTCCTACAGACTATACTACTAGATCTCCTTATAAATGTATAGTAATAGATAAATGAAGGTGTTATTTTATTCTTTATAGAATTTTCTTTTTAATAACAGGTTTCTTCTTTTCAAAACAATTTCTTTCTAGGACATCAGTCTAAATACACTTCTAGGAGTAGGTCTATATAATAATAATAATAATAATACCTTTGGTGGCAAGGTGAGTTAAGTTTTGGGCCACAGATGTACCAGTTACACCACAGGAGAAAAGGTATTACATTTTCATAGAGATTTACAACTTTGAAAAGCACAGGGGATAGTTCCACTTTGTCCTATGATATGACCTGGAATTGGCATAATCACAGTGTTTTTCTTTTCCTCTTAAAATGAGTCCTGTAGAATCTACAAGTTCCAATGTCAAATGAGTGTGGGATACAACAGAAAAAAGAAGTTGCTAAGAACAATGTGATTCCACCCGCAAGTTCAAACTCAAACCTATTTAAACTTGTTATGCTGTTGTTATGTACTGTCCTGTTTGAACCAATTCATAGTTGACTATCCATTAGGTTTTCAGAGGCTGTAAACAGCATTGCAGGAAACTGTCCATCTTTTGTAGAGGAGCATCTGGTAGATTTGAACCATGTGCTTTTGGGTTGGCAATGCAACTCCTTACCACTAAGCCACCAGAGCTCTCTCATTCAAACTAGATAAAATGAAATTATTATTAGTGATGTTGGAGAAGAGTACTGAATATGCCACCAACTGCCAAAAGAACAAGTCTGTTTTAGAGAAAGTGCAATCAGGACGATACATAGAGGCAAGAATGGTGAAGCTGCATCTCATATTTTGGACGTGTTGTCAGGAGAGCCTAGTTGTTTAAAAAAAGACAGCATGCTGGGAATGGTGGAGGATCAGAGAAAAGCAAGACGCTCAACCAGATCTATAGACACAGTGCCTGTAACAATGAGCTCAGGTAGATCAAGAGATCATGAGGATGGTACAAAATTTAGAACTATTGTTTGTAGGGTCACCACAAATTGTAGGCAAACTGATGGACCCTAATAAACACGAGCAAGAATGCACGCTTAAAGACTAAGGTACACCTGATCAGCAGAGGAAGTATCAATGCCTTTGAGTTGTAGTGCTGAAGAAGAGTTCTGAATACCCCTTATACAAAGATAAATAAATCTGTCTTGGTGGAAGTAGAACCAGGGTGCTCCTCAGAGGCAAGGATGGTGAAGTTTCATCTCACATACTTTGAATCTGTTGTTAAGCGGGGCCAGTCCTCGGAGAAAGACATCATGCTGGGAAGGGTGGAGGGTGAGAGAAAGACTCCTGATTTAAGTTCTCAATTAAAACAGAAAGGTTTGCATCCACCAGTTGCTAAACAGGACAAAAGTGCCTCTGTAAAGATTATAGCTTCGGGAACTTGATGGGGCACTTGGACTCTGTGGTAAGGGTTGCTCTGAGTTGGAATCAATTTGACATTAATGGATGTGAGTGCTGACAACGATATACTCCTCACTAACAACATGGTTAAGTTCAAAAGATCAACTGCAAAAATCTGTGTTAAAGGTAGGATGTCCGTCTTAGATCACAAAATGGAGCATGACTACATTATTACATGCCAAATTGCACAGCCCAGCCAAGATGACACATACCCTTAACCATTACAGCCAGACTTAATCTCTCTCTACATCCTGTCATTTGTTTCTGCAAGATATGTTGCTGTTACTGTGAAAAACAGTCACATAAAAACTTTTTTACTATTGTAATAAACATGAAATACCAGATGAGAACGTCAATAACTGAGTAGATAATTACACAACTATCCATCTCATAATTAAACCAAACATTTCCATTTATGCACTTCTATTTTAAATTCATTTTTACAATTATGAAATAAAAACATGGCTACAAATGTAGCATTTAGTACAAAGCCTCCAGTTTTTACAAAATTAAATACATGACAGTGAACACACCTAACACAATTTTTTTATACAGAAAACAAACAAAAATAAACAAGCCAAATTACATTTCTAAACTACTGCACCGTATTTTCATCATAGTTAAGAGAGTGATCATGCCAAGTCCTACAAAGTTCCCTAATGACCTCACTATCCTCCTCACCTTGCTATTTATGGTCAATCTCCCCACGTGTGATTTATAGCCTGCTCGAGGGTCAGCTATGAGTCAGTTCCAACTTGACGCACATCACAATGACAAGCACCACCAATCACTACCCCCAGTGAGAAAATAGTTTATAATTAATATAGTACCATCTTTTTTCACAGCCTCTGCTTCCTACCAACAGAAGGTTAACTTTTCAGTTTCAAATTTAAAAGCAAAGCATGCCTTTGATTTCTAGCTAGAGAAGTACTGAGGTCATTAAAGTCTGAGAAAAGGATTTAGAGCACCAAAACCTTTCTGTAGTCACTAATCTAATTTCACAAACAAATCTGGCAAAGAGCTTAATACTCTTACTGCCTTCGGGTCAGGATGGACTCTCATAGATGACCCTCCATTTGGTTTCCAAGCTACAAACTGCACGGGAGGAAAACTGTACATTTTTCTCCCAAGGGGCCAGCAACTGGTATATTTAAACTTCCAGAGAAGTGCAGCCTTCTAGGTGAGCGCTGCTAACTCCCTATAGATTAAGCCAGAAGTAATAAAATAAACTCTCCTCTTCTGAGGAACAATTCCAGACACCTTAAAAGAACCTAGAAGATCGTTCACTGATGCCTACACTATTTAAGTAAATCAGAGGAACATAATTAGCAATTACTGACTCTCTCTCTCTCTGTATAAATAATAATGTAATAAAATGTACTTACCATTTCCATTAATAGACAGATTATGGGTCTTGAAGCTATCTTCAGTACTTTCCAAGGTCAGAGTAGTATAAGCTAGCAAATTATACTTTGCACCACTAAGATGAGAAATAAAACAGGTTTTAAATATTTTCACATGTTTCTGTTACATAAAATATTTGATGCTATAGATGACAGATTTTAGCTAATAAACATTAATAAATTAACATGTTTATCTTTTTATGATGTTACACATCATATAAAAATCAACAAATTATTTGGTTTCACTCACAACACAAATGTTTCTCTGAAAAATTTCCATCTTTCTGTTCACTGCAAGTATTACTATTTACTGAAAACCCAATATGTTCCAGGTTGTTCTGGTACAGGTGAGGAGGAAAAAAACAAGTACGTGAATGAATGAATGAAGTTTTAGTATTTACATGTTTTAAGGCAACTTTTTATTACACCCTTTTCCTTTTTAAATTTTTATTATATTATTTACAAAATTTGAATACATTGTTTTTCACACCAATTCCTTCCATTTTCCTCACGCTCCCACCCATCAAATTGTGCGCCCTATGACTATCCCTCCCTGTCTTTCCCTGCCACACACATCCTCACCTCTCTGTTTCCACCCTCTGCCACTTTGGATCCTCATACTCATTCTACAATAATGGTTTAATACAGTATTTGTCCTTATGGGACTGAGTTCACTCCGCATAATGCTCTCCAGTCCTTCCAAAGTTAGGTATTAATTTACAAAATTATTGCTCCTGCATGCTGCACTGTATTCCATTGTATGAATGTACCATAATTTCTCAATCCATTCAATTGTGGTTGGACATTTGGGCTGTTTTCACGTTCCTGTGATGGTGAATAATGCTGCTGTGAATACTGGTGTAACAGTTTCCATTAGAGCCTCAATTCTCCTTGGAGTATATTCCAAGCAATGGAATAGCTGGGTCATATGGAATTTCTACCTTCAGCTTTTTAGGGAAGCGCCAAACTGCCTTCCAGAGTGGTTGTACCATTGTACAATCCCATCAACAATGTATATGCGTTCCTATCTCGCTACATCCTCTCCAACATTTTTACTGTTAAGTAACATTTTGCTTTGTTAAGGCAAAAACTTTCTTGAAGGAAATAATGAGAAAACAGATCATCTGTTAGACAGAGGGAGCTATGATGTCCTAGTGCATAAAGCGCTGCACTGCTAACCTAGTGAGGCAATTCAAATCCACTTGTTGCTCTGGGGGAGAAAGACGTGCAATCTCCTCTTGTGTGATGGGCTGCCTCTTGGGGGTCAGTTGTGAACTGAGTATGGTGTAATGGCACATAACAACAGGGACATCACATTAGGTAGGCAAGCAAGAAAGGTTTCTCAGGAGGTAAATGTTATATAGTCATAAATGAAACCAAGCAAAGAATGTTGAAAAATACTCTTGGTACAGAGACCAGCAAGTGCAGAGGAGGACAGAGAGAACCAGTGTGGCTGGAGAGAACAAGTGGGATACACAGTACAACATAAGGATTGGAAGTGTAGGCAGAGGCTAGATCATTCAGGCCTGTGTTCCCCCGGAAGAAGGGAAGACTTCAGTCCAAGGGTAGTAAGCCCCTCACATTTAAGAGGACTAATGGTAACTGATGTGTATTTATTTCCTAGAATAAGAATTAATCTCCTTCCTGTGGGTTACCTATTAAAAAATGTGGGGTTTTTATCTACAATGTAAGGAATGATAAACTTCATTGCTAAGATGCTTTTCTATTTCACTATAGTTTTCTTTATGCTGCTTTTTTAAAAAAAAAAGAACATTCTTGCCAAACTACCAAGAAAATCTAGCAATAAATATCAAATCTGAGTGCTTTGCGGTAATAAAAACCCGTTTTTATTTTTATTAATAATACATGTATTTTTGCGCTAGTAATCTTAATGTTATTTTATGACCTTTCTAAGTTTTATTACATACTTTGCAAAACAGTAGAATCTCAAAATTCAAAATATCAAAGTTGTTGTTATCAGTAACCTTCAAGTGGATTACAAACCATGGCGACTCCGTGTGCCGGAGTGGACTAGCCCCACAGTGTTTTCTAGGCTGTATTCTTCATGGCAGCAGATCAACAGGTCTTTGCCCCAGAGAAATGTTAAGCAAGTTTGAACCACTAAATATCCCATAATAATTGAGTACTTAACCACTATGTCATCCTACACATTTTCTCAATATGGTAGTAATTAGTTCCTCTCATATAGGCTTTATGTGTGAGCTCTGGTGGCCTAGTGGTTAAGAAGCTGCATTGCAATCTCGAAGGCACACAGTTCAAATCCACCAGATGCTCCACAGGAGAAGGATGGGCAAACTCCTCCGACACAATTACTATCTCTGAAAACCCACGGAGGGTCAGCCATCAGTCGGTTCTAACTTGATGGTACACAGCATATAGGCTTTAAGGAGCTGTATTTAAGAAAAATGGGTGAGACCATTTAAATCCATATAGCATTATCATTTTCCCCCATTTAAAATAATGAAACATGGGATCCCTAAAGCATTTTGATGCAAAATGTGTCCCTTCCAGGAAAAGATGGTTGACAATAAGTGAGAGTTGCCTGTACCATCTGGCTCTTTACCCATAACTGGGAACTTACAACAATCAACAAAAAGGGGAAAGGAGGTGTCTCTCTTAGAAGATAAGTCTATGAGGTTAAGTAAAGTAGAATAGGATTAAGGTGTTGGGAGGTTGTCATTAGACAAAGAAGAGGAACACCTATCTGAGAAAGTTAACATATGAACACCTAAAAGAAGAGAACCATGAGAAAAAAAAGCAGACAGAAGAGCATTTTAGACGAAGAGGAAGTGCGAAGAGCAGGTGCGCGAGGGTGTCTGACTGACACTAAGCCGGTCTGACTGTTTATAGTGAAGGAGAGTGACATGAGAGATCCAAGAGGGGACAGTGGGCAAACAGATACTCTGGAGCGTACTACACCTCATTTCATTTCAAAATGGGAGGCAAATGGAGGCTTTTGAGCAGAGAAATATGACTTACATTTTTAAATTATTCCTCTGGCTGTTTTCTGAGAAAAGGTCATCAGGCTAAAAGTAAAAATGTAGAAATCAAGAGAGGTGGCCAGGAATGGGGTGACAGCAGTAAAGCCAAGGTCAATTTCAACCCACAGCAAGCCAGAAGCTTCAAAGATAGAGTAGACCTTCCCATAGAGCTCTCAAGACTGTAAGCTTTATAGAAGCAGATGGTCACATTCTTGCCTACGAAACAAGCTAATAGATTTGAACTGCCAATCTTGGTTGGCAGGTTGGAATTTAACGACTGCACAACCAGGGCTATTGTGGTAGCTGTCCACTCACTCACTCACTCACTCACTCACTCACTCTCAGTGTCTTAAAGTCAGAATCAACTCACAGTCAACCCTCCAGCTGGTTTTTGGAGGCTATAAATTGCCCGGGAGGAGACTGCCCATCTTTTTCCCAAGGAACCACTGGTGGTTTAGAATTGCCAGAGAGGCATCGCCACCGGGTTAGCAGTGCAGCATCCTATGTACCGACACCAGGTTTCCCTAATGTGGTAGCGGTAAAAGGAATGAAATGTGAAAGGTAAGAACAAGGCAAGAAAATTACCAAGATCTTTGAACAACTAGAAAAAGAGAATTGTTAATGGAAATGTGGCATCCTGAGAAAGACTAGATATGGGAAGCAATAATTTAGTTTTGGAAATAATTTAGTTTTGGTAAGTATTACACTGTTTTAGGAATCTGAGATGTACTGTGGTTAAGGCAGACTGGATAAAACAAGAATCTGGAGTTAGGGAGGAGGAAATACAAGAGATACAAACATACATGTTATCAGTATACAGGTGGAAGTTTAAAGCCTCAAGAATACAGGAGAGTTCCTAGAGAGTAAAGCCCGAGGACCAAGTACGGGGACATGACATTTTCAATGGAGATAAAAGGAAAAGAATAAAGGAGACAAGCAAGAAATAATCGTTGAGAGAGAAGAAAAGGAAAGTGGTATCTTAGAAAGCAAGTGAAAAGTGCTCCAAGGACAGTGATGACTCCAAGTTCCAAGAAGAGAGTTACGTTTGCTGAAAGGAGCACTGATTGGATTTAGCCATTGGTTTTGGCAACATGCAGATCTTTGTTAACCTTGTTAAGAACAGTTCTGTGTGGTAAGGTGGAATAGGTCAAGTGAGGTTGGGAGGAGAGAAAGCAGAGATGGAGAGAAAGCAGAGACGGCTACCTGTAAAGGGTAGTTGGAAAATACTTAGAAATGGGAGCTTTTCTAGCATGTTTATATATTTGTGGGAATGATGCAGTGGAGAAAACTGATGATGCGAGGAATGAAGTGAAGGTTTCTATCCGAGGTGAGTAATTAAGAAGATGGTGTCTACAGCACAAACAGATGTCATCAGACGGAGTAAAGGCAATTTGCAAGGAAGAGAAGCAGTAAGTACAAAGCCATAGTCAGGCAAGGCTGATAGACATGGTAGGTGGAGGATATGCTAGTAATCTTCTGGTTACTTCAGTTATATCAGTGACAGATGAAGCAAAGTCATCAGGTATGAATCAGGAGTTGAGAAGGGAAACGCTGGAATCTGAGAGACCACTATGTGTGAAGCACTCACCCTGAGGAGAGTTAAAGCGAGAAGCTACGGAAACTTGAACTCCCTTAAGGTTGGGAGTGATCATGTGTCTGAAGAGAGACCTGCCAGAAATGCTGTGCTTCTCATCTACTTGCATGCCCAAGCCGAGCTGCAGAAAGTGGGATTCAAACAAAGTTCTAAGTCTTCTTAGTAAGTCTGATAATGTGAAAGAGATGCCAGGAAAGAAGAAAGGAGAAATCACTAAGTCTAAGCTAAGTTGTAGCAGAAGCTGAATATGTGGAAGGTGGTGGACAGAGGAGATACCTGTTACATAAATATTAAAGTGTTTGTAATTTTATTAATAATGTGTTAACAGAATATGAAATGCAGACAACTTGGATGGAGTCAACAATGAAATAGAGTTCATAAATATCAATATCCTAGACGTTAGTGAGCGGAAATTGATTGCTACTGGCCATATGAATCAAACTAAATGCAATACTAAGCCAGGGATGAAAAATTAAAGAAG